ATGACCTTCCGGGCGATACTAAAATCGAATTCATATGGTGGGATAAGTTATAAAATTTTAAATCTAGTTTGTAATATGTTTGAATTTTCATTTATTATTTTGCAAGTTCTTCAAGCATAATGCTTTAGAGATAAAAAAAAAAAAAAAAAATACATACTTTCGACCCAAAGTACCCCAAATCAACAAGACAATTAGCGCTATGAGCAATTGAAACCATGTTACAAATAAAGGGTATGGAAATCTATATTCCGAAGTGCTAAGAATAAATTTGTTTAGGAATACAACTGCTAAAGATACAATCCAGTAAAACGCTACAACCAGGAAAATAACTAAAGTAGTGTATTGCTTTGGATGAGAATAAGCCGATGTCGAAGTTGCTGGTGGTGGGAGAAAAGGTTTCTCATCAGATTTCTCATCAGGCGAAACCATCTTTTTTTCTTTTTTTTGACAAGTACATCCATACATACACGTAATTTATAACCTTTTTATCATTACTAAAAAGATAGCCATGTGGCTATAGTAGAATTTCATTGGTAAACATTAAACGTGTACGTACTGAGAAATCTTTAAATGCAATTTTCTATAAATGCACTAACTATATAAACAATGATGATTTTTATGTTAAATCTCAGATGTACATATGTATATCTCTTGTAAACTTCTTTTCTATAAATATGTACTGTACGTACGTACCTGCTTTGAATGTTACTTTTGTCACCTTAGGTAGGGGACAACATATCCAAAAGATAAAATTGAATGAAAGGATTATACATAACATATAAATTCTTTCTAAACGCATGCATAGATGCTGTTTTGCCTAACTGACCATATAGTTTCATAAAAAATTTGTAATACGTGCAATATCAGATATTAGATACGTATATCTGATATATGTACTGTATGTATGTATAATTTTTTGATTAGCATTTAAAATAAGGATTTTTTACGCATACCTATAGACAGTATATGCAATTAGACAGTTATAATAAACCATATTATATATTAATTAACCAATTAAAATTATTAAAATTTTATTAATAATTTGTTTTTAAACATGAATATAATTTGATTTAGCAGTCTGTTTTGGATGATTTAACTACCAAAATGATCAACTTAATGAGTTGATTCTAATGAATCCAGAATCACAAGATAGTTAATAATTTATATAATAAATATATATATTAGTTTTAATATAAAGTAATACAAATCCTTAACACAAAAAAAATTAAAATAAAGTAATACAAATTATTATGATCCTGTAATTATTTCACATAAAGGACTTGAAAAAAATATATACTAAAGTATCTTTTTATAGGTCGCACGATCTCTTTCAATCCTTTTTAATATTATTTTCACATATACTCTTCTTGGTGCTAAAACATCATTCGCTGCAATGGTTTGTTGTGGTATTGTATTCCTGGGATTCATTGTTGGATCTTATTATGAAATAAATTTCTCTTGGGAAGGGCTTATTTATGGTATTGCGTCTAGTGCCTTTGTAGCATTATATGGAATTTATGTTAAAAAGACACTTGGTGCAGTTGATAATAACCAATGGTGAGCAATCATAATTCTTATTTAATACAAAATATAACTTCTTTATATAACTTGTATATGATATTTTATTTAGGCGTCTTCTCCATTACAATACAACTTTATCGATATTTTTCCTTTTTCCATTGGTATTATTTGCGGGTGAACTAAAAGAAATTGTTAATGTTCACTTTTTAAATGATGTGGGTTTCTGGATATTGATGACTATCACTGGAATCACCGGTTTTATCATCAACATTGCAATATTCTTGCAAATTAAAGTCACAACACCTTTAACCAACACAATTTCTGGAACGGCAAAAAGTTGTTTTCAAACTGCGCTTGCTGCTTTTTATTTCCAAAATCCAATTTCTCCTATGGTAAGTTTTTATTAATATAATTTTGGATTCTGTAATTATTTGATTATATGATTATTGATCATTTTCTATTTTTTTGTGCATTTATTTAGAATGCCTTTGGTATATTTCTTTCCCTCTTTGGTTCCGGTTTATATTCGTGGGTACGATATAAGGAAATGCTTAGAAAATAGATTTATATATAATTTCCGCGTATAAATTTATGTGTGCCAATATATATATATATATATATATATCGAGTACGAATAATCGAAAAAAACAAAAATTAATTTTTTGTAATTATTTTAATAAAATTTATCTAACCGATACAAATTTTGCTGTTTACTGTAATGATCTTGGCATATTTGCATAGCGGAGGATCGGATCCAAATCCGGAAAATTTATATCAGATTGGTGTATCACAACGGCTAGCCAGTACGTATTATATTAGCTCAACCGACAGAATATCAAACCTATAATTTTAATTGCTAACTATATACATATAATATATTAAATATATGTATTACATTGTTTATTTGTTTTTTTATAAATTATATTTCTTCGTTGTACCAATTAATCTAAACTCTACAAAAGTATTTTTATAACCTTTTTTAAAGTGTTAATATTAGCAATAAAATTGTTTCGTTGAATAAATAAGTCTAGAGGGCTGAATCTATTAAATCAAACTTTAAAAATGACAATGATAACTAGTAATAACATAGTCACTATGACGCACAAACTTGATACGCAGTAAGTACACATTTTGTAAAACGTTCAGATCTTTTCTTTTTTTTGAGCTTAATGTTTGTACAGTATAACGATAAGGGTTAAATTTTACTATATCAGAATGTTACTATACTGGCTCCTAAGCCCAGACAGATCTAAAAAGACCAGTCTTTTAACCAGTTTCACTATTATTCGGAGCCAGTCTTAAATTAGGATCAAAAATATTAGACTAGAATTTTTTACAGAAGAGCACAAATGGATATTGCTTTCATAAATTCGGATAGACTATCGGTGCAATTTATAACTCAGAAAAAAATCAACCAATCATACTATTCCATTTTCGCAACATTACATAAAATGATTTTAACATACGATCAGCTTTATAAAAGTTTAGGCCAACGTTATTCACATAACAAGTTATGTACGTAGAAGCTTACACGTAAAAATAATTTTCCATTCTATATGAAAGTTATTAAGTTAGTTTGTGTAAAAACATATGGGTTCTTTGCCTTGAAAATGACCTTACAGGACTATGTAGATTTTATGAATAAAATTTAACTATCTAGCAATATAGGTTAACGAAAAAATTTTTTTTATTTCGTAGAACTTATTAACTGTTAACCCTTTAATTTTTATTTATAAAATCTACATAGTCCTGTAAGGTCAT